AAGTATATTGTATCCTAACAAAAAGGTGTTTCTGAAGATTCTCACCAAGTACAAACTGTTCTTTAAGAGTTACTGTTCATGCTATACAAATGATTTTAAACACGGGGGTCTGATTCATGCCTTCTTACCCACTTCTGAGCCATTTACTTTTGTATAAAGTGGATGTCAAAAGCTACCAAATTATTATGCTCCACTGCCACTAGTGGGAGTTTTTCAAATGGGATGCAAAGCAATGGTGAAATCATGCACGGAGTCTATTAAGAAAATGTTCAAAGCTCATATATATTCTATTGGGTATTATTAAGAGACATGAAAATGCACTATGTGTCACTAAATCGATTGTCATCACTTGTTATGATTTTATTTCTCTTGGAGATAATACTCTGCACTGTACCGCATTGCCTGCTGCTCTGGTCAAACTTTGCTTATAGAATATATAAAAGAATATACCTTCGTGACTGGAAAAGCCTTCTGAATCTGCAGCATGTTGATTGCTGTTTCCTTATGCTCAGCGTCTATCAGAGAATATTCTGCATCTATAAAAGAAACTGCAGCTGTTCACACTTGTCTGCTTCCAAAGGTATTGAAATGAGTGTATTAATTAGTGAAGAGTGAAGCATTAGTGAAACATTTCAATACTCTCATGTAAAGTCCTGTGTATTTGAAATCCAGTACCATCTCCTCTCCTCTCCCAAAACTAGAGAAATCATTCATGGCAAAGATTAGTAAATTTGCGTAATTAATCTTGCCCATCAAGAATGCTGTAACCTCCACTGGCATTTTTAATAAATAAATAATTCCCTCTGATTTCATCTAATTTTAATGGCTTTATTTGTATCCTTTTTTTCCTGACCTAGCAGCCATTCTTTTTTCTTTACTGTTTCTTTGTACTTCCTTAAAAAGTGGACAACCAACAGGATTTATGGCTGTGATGATTTATGTTTCAATGCATATTGACTGCCTAGTATGTTCTGCACTGGAAAGTGGACCTGTTGTTTTACACATGTGTGCGTTTTTCAGAGATTGGGATGTAAAACAGAACAGAGGCACTTCCCTTTGAACTTTTGTGCTGTAACAGGTATTCTAAGGCCAGTCAAGGGAATCTGTGAGTTGTGCTATGAGTTAGAGTTAATTCTTGCATGAGCTTTGCACTTCCAAAGAACTGAGTTCAAATTCTGGCTTAGGTCACAAGTGAAAATGGTTTTGATGGTCTCTTCTGTTCTTGCACAGAACAAAAACACTCTGCCATCTGTTAAAATTCATCGTGATTGGTAGTTCCAATTAAGGAGAAGCTGATGACTGGAAAAGCTGGAAGCTGTTGCAGGTGAGGACTGCAGTGTATTTGTACATCTGCAGAAGATGCTTTCCCAAGGCAGACAACCAGCACCGAAGGCAGTTGTAGCCCTGATTCGTAGTTGTAGCCCTGATTCCGAAGGCAGTTGTAGCCCTGATTCGTAGTCCTTTACTTTCAGGGTTATAAACTCTCTTTCCTTTTAAAAAAAATTACTAGTTATTATTATACAAACCATTTTGCAGCCACTACCGTAGCAAGAGCTACATCTGCTGTTATAATTAACAAATTATTATATTATTATTTTGGTGGTTAGCCAAGACACAAGAAATCATTCTTCTGCTCTACTCTGTACTGATTAAGCCTTAGCTGAAGTGTCTGTTTCAAGAAAGATGTGGAAAAATTGGAGAAGGTCCAGAGAAGACCAAAAACGTTATTAAAGGCCTTGAAAATACGAGTTATAAGGGAAGACTGGAGATTTTTAAGAGCAGTTTGGATAGACAGCTATCAGGGATGATTCTAGACAGTGCTTGGTCCTGCCATGAGGGCAGGGGACTGGACGTGATGATCTCTCGAGATCCCTTCCAGTTCTAGTGATAGAAATGTAGCCATGTTAGTCTGGGGTAGTTGAAGCAAAATGCAGGACAATGTAGCACTTTAAAGACTAACAAGATGGTTTATTAGATGATGAGCTTTCGTGGGCCAGACCCACTTCCTCAGATCAAATAGTGGAAGAAAGTAGTCACAACCATATATACCAAAGGATACAATTTAAAAAAATGAACAAATATGAAAAGGACAAATCACATTGCAGAACAGGAGGGGGATGCGGGGGGGGGGGAAGGAAGGAAGGTAAGTGTCTGTGAATTGATGATAATAGAGGTAGGGAGAGTGGGATGTTTGTGAGTTAATGGTATTAGAGGTGATAATTGGGGAAACTGTCTTGGTAATGGGTGAGATAGTTCAAATGTTTGTTAAGTCCTTGTTGGCAAGTGTCGAATTTTAACATGAATGACAGTTCAGAGGATTCCCTTTCAAGTGCAGATGTAAAAGGTCTTTGTAGCAGAATGCACCACCTAAATCATTAGGAACCTGTGCTGAAAAACTGTATGCAATAAGTATATAGTTCTGGCTGTGGTCTCTCTGTGTGCAAAATGAAAGCTGAGGGAGAGAATACATGGAATGTAAAAGATGTATAGAATATGAATTTTTGTTTCGTGACAAGCTGCATCACTATAAAACACAAAATTCATCATGCATAGGTTTCATAAAAGACATTTAATTATAGCAGTGGTTAGTCGTGGCCATTTCAAACTTTTTGTTCCAATCCCTGTACATTTTATAACGTTCTGAGTGAAGAACAGACAATCCAAATCATACAGTGTCTTAGAAGTAAGAGAGAGGTAGCTGTGTTAGTCTGACCTTAGTAAAACAAAAAAAGTAATCATGTAGCACTTGAAAGACTAACAAGATAGTTTATTAGGTGATGAGCTTTCATGGGGCAGGCCCACTTCTTCAGATCATACATTAGAAGGTGAAACATGATTTGCTCATGCCTCTAATGTGGCAGCAATTCTTGTGAAACAAAGTAAAGCCTGTGAATGAGTACAGAGACATATAACTCTACGCCTGTGATCAGAACAATGGATGTCAATGTGGCTTCTCATATGCACAAAGCTAATTACATGCATGAATATTTGCATAATTTGGGCCTACAATAGAATTAGGTGGAGTGGTTATACTGGTCTAGGTACGGTTCCTGTTCTTTTTGATAAAGAACAGCAATGTGGTATGGTTTAATTTTTTAATTTTGTGAGATTTTATTCTTAGCCTAATATTTCTAATGACAAATGGCAACATTGGTTATTTACCTAATAAATTATAATTCTTCAGAGCAGAGGCTCATATTGAAAGCATAACTAATCTTGCCTGTAACTGTAAAAAGAAAATACTTCCAAAGGAGTTCACTTCAGTGAAAGCTTGTCAGCTCAAGATGCACTGTATTATAGCATGTGTTTTGTATACTAGAAAACACTGCAATGCTAAAATGTAATTTAACACTATGTCTCATAATTCTGTATATGGATTGAAGTGACTTGTGTATAAAGTATTTACTGGACAAACTATGTATTAAAAATATCAGAACAAGTTCTGTTCTGTTG